CAGCTACCCCAATTACTCTGTCCTTAAGATGGAAGTGGCGGCTGCATGGTGGCCCCCAGTGACGTGTCTGTGTTTTGAGGCTGGACCCCATGGATGTGACTGTCCCTGAGGAAAGGGTCGCAGTAGATGGCACCGAGTGAAGGCCTTGAGATCACCTCACTTGGGCCCTGATGACAAGTGTAGTAAGACAGGCACAGAAACGGAGGGAAGGGGCTAGAGGCTAGTTGGGTTGGGAAAATGCTTGTATTGTGGTCTTGAGAGGCTGAGTTTGATCCTCAGAACATAAGTAACAAAAGGCAGCCGTGTGGTGCATGTCTGTAACTCCAGAGGCAGGAAGAAGCAGTCTCTGGGGCTCATTGGTCAGTTAGTCTAACCTGCTTAGTGAGCTACAGTAGGCCAGTGAGACTTTGTCACAAACAAACAAACATACACCAAATCAACCAACCAAACCAGATCAAACAAAACCCCACCAAAGTAGAGAACTCACCAGGGGCAACAGCCAAGGTTGTCTCTGGCCTTCACATACATGCCACACACACACAGACCAAATGTAGCTCACTGAGGTCATGGGAGGCTAAGGGATGCCTGGAAGCTAGAAGAGGTCAGGAGGCCCCTCCCTAGAACCTCCATGGAGAGTACCTACTTGTCCAGACCTGTTGGACCTCTGGCCTCCAGAGCTGTGGGAGAAGGGTGATATTTTTAGCCACCCCATGCTCAGCACTTTATCATATGGTCTCGGGAAATGAATCCAACATGGAACCAGAGATCCTGAGCAAGCCAAGAAGCTCTTATCAGCTGGTCCTTTGCTGCTCCTGCCTCTCAGACTGAAAAACAAACAAACAAACAAACAAACAAACAAACAAACAAACACAAAGCTAGATTTGGTTTCCTCCCGGAGAAGCTGAGGCTCCTGCATGCTGGCTTGAAGGGTGCCCTCCTGGGAAAGGGCTGACTTTGGTAAACACAGCATACATGACATGCAAGGGGCCCTGGTGGCTGGGAACCACGTAGGTACTCTCATATGTCTGTAGCGTAGACGTGTTCTGAACACTCCATAGATACTGGTTTATGAGTCCTGAAAAAGTCCTAAGAGGAAACATAATCCCCCTCTGACAAACAAGGAGACAAAGAGAAACAACAAAGGAGGGTGTGAGGACCACAGCCCCTTCCTAGGCCACGTGGAAGCAAAAGAAGCCAGGTACAAAAGGCTCCATGGTGTTGAGTCCACTGAGCAGAAAACCCACGGAGGTGCAAAGTGGGTGCATGGCTGCTGCGCTGTGGGCAAGGGGAAATGGGAGAGTGATGCAGCACGTGGGGCGAGGTCCTTTTGGGGATGATGAAGTATTTCAGATTGAGATGGGGGCCAATGCCAGTATTGGGAGTGTGCTACCTGCTACCCCAATAAAGGTTGAGTGCACTGAAAAATGGTGAATGTCTTGTCATGTGATTTCAGCTGCAAATAAAAAGATAGTTCCTGAGAGGACAGTCCTGATAGGGAGGTCTTGCCTGAGCAGTCTGGAGACCTGATAATGTCACCAGGCTCCTGGTTCCTGGAATTTCCCAGCCTCTCCTCCAGTGCTTCCCTGTGGGCCCACTTGCTGCATTCGGAACACTAGACCTTTGAGCCTGGGTGGGGTGCTGGCATTGCCACCTTAGCCTTCAGCTCTTCTGGGCTTTGGTGGGTGCCAGATCAGCAGACAGACCTGGCCGAGCCTTTGTACAGTGGCTTCTGCCCCAGTGGTGTCACCAAGCCCCTCCATGCCCCCTGCAAGCTTGTACAGGACAATGGGGAAGTGGCAGGGGGATATGCCTGAGTAAAGCTATGTGCAGAATTCTGGGATCTCAGGGACCCTGGGGCAATCTATCTACCAGTCCCCAGCTTCTCCATCTCGGCCTAGTAAGCTTGCTCGGTTACTGCGTCTTCCTTAAATTCCTCAGGTGAGTCAGATGTGGGGGCCATCCGTGGACTTCTGCTGACACCCCAGCTGGGGCCTGTTATTTATGGGCATATACAAACCACATCCTGAGAGGCATAATTCTACCATGAGATGGCATCAGTAGAAAGAAGGGACCTGGAAATCCCTTTCTGCCTGGAACACAGACCCAGAAGGGTTGCAGCTGGGCCTGCGCTGGAAGACAGCCCCAGGGCCAGGTCAGCACTAGGGGCACTTCTATCTAGCGGCTAGATCCTAGCGGCTGCCCTTAGCTAGGGCTTTCTTACTGAGAACATCTCCTGCTCAGAAAATCTTAAGACCTTCGGTGACAGTAGCAGACCTCCTATGGCCTCCCAAAAATATTGTAAAGAATCTGAGTCTAGAAGACAATCACGAGGTCTGAGTGCACCAGAAAGATGGACAGGCCGTGTCCTGGCTTCGCACAGCCGAGTCCTGAGAAGCTCTAGGAGAGCCATGCCCGGCTTCCTCTGGCTCGCTGGGCCAGGACATCATTTGTTGATCCTCCAGCCTGATCCGAGCTCATGATTTCCTCTTGGGTTGCCATGGCCCCATGCAGAAAACACAGCAAACTCCTGGCCCTGTGCAGTGCATTTATTTCAAATATTCCTTGTGGCTGGAACCCGACCATGTTTGGGTGTCTGGACTGGAACATGAACGGATTGCTCTGTCTTCAGCCCCCTCCCCAGCTTCCCCAGCATAGTTTACGGTTCAGCAAAGTCCACATTCCTCATCCCGCCTAGGAGCGGGAGGGAGGCTGCTGCCCAGGATGGAGACAGAGGCGTCTTCCCATCTATGGCCAAGCCAGAGAGCCGGCTACCTGCTCGAAGGCAGGGGATTAATTACAACCAGATGGGCCAAGTCTGCACAGATGGTTTTATTAAAACTGTTCCCTTCAGCACAAAGGCCGGCTCCCCCAGAAGTCTCCTGGCAGCACAAAGGCCCTCATTTTGCTGGTGCCTCCCCTACCCCATGCCTGACCCCTCTCCTCCCCTGCCACCCTTTCAAAGGAGGCCCGAGTTCCAACTGCAACCCAGACATGAACTCCTGCCTAAAAATAACTCTAGACCCACCCTCTTCCCTCTGCCTACCATCCGGGGAGGGCATGGAGGGCTCCTTTTCCCAATAGCCACCTTGATTTGTGGCAGGCTACCTGGGAAGAAAGAGTAATTAGAAGGACGGATCAGGAATGTCTGGCTTGACCCCGGAAGCTAAGTCCCAAGGCAGGAAGTACTATCTTTCGGAAGAGCTACAGTCTCTGCCACGCTTGCTGGCAGGTGTGCCATGGAGCACACGGGCCCTGCTGTGGGAACCCCACAGTCCCTTGTTCCGTCTGTGACTACCGTCTTGCAGAGCCTCATCCAAGGTGACAGCACCCATGTTAGAACCTCAGTGCAACTGAGGAGGATCCCATGTGCTAGTGCCTGGGTCAGGCTGCCGCCACACTGGAGTGAGTGAGTCTCTTTACCTGGCAACTTTGCAAGAGAGTTAGCATTAGAGCTATAGTCCCAAAGTCCCATAGTCTGTCCAGCAAGGTTACTTGGGGAGTGTAGGGAAGGGCAGGTCCCTGGGCCTACCCCCGGAAATACTGGCTGGGCCTGTGTAATATACATTTATTTTACCTTTTTTTTTTTCCATCCCTCCCTTCAGGATCCCATGTCCCCAGTCTGGCCTTTAAATCACCATGTAGCTGAGGATGATCGTGAACTTTTGCTCTTCCTGCCTCTACCTCCTGAGTACCAAGATCACAGATATATGTCACCATACCAGGTTGTGTTTTGTTTTTAGAATTTTAACTGTTGTGTGCTTGTGTGCATCCACCACAGCGTGCATTAGGAGAGCAGAGGTCAGTTTGAGGCAGTCAGTTTTCTACATTATATGGATTCTAGGGATGAGACTCAGTCATTAAGCTCAGCAGCAAGTGCCTTTACCTGCTGAGCCACCTTGGCGGCCCATGCCAGATTTCCTGTGGTTCTGGCGAACCCAGTGCAGGGCTTCACATGTTAGGCAAGCACTGTGGCACCAACTGAGCTACATCTGCAGAGTAAGAACTTGCATTTAACAATGCAGCAATCTAAGGAAAAACTGGTCAAGAGAATCTCAGAAAGGACCATGCTGTGTGGCTTGAGCTCCCTGACCAGGCACTTCCCACAGCACCTCCAGAGCCCAATACACCCTTCAGTAGAGAAACCCCAAATGAGTTGCACGCACACTTAGTGGCTCTCTAGAAATTAGTTATGACATGTGAGCTCACTTAGTGAATTTTTCGAGTGTTCGCAGCATCATTCTTCGTTCCTCTGAATAAGCCAGATTTTCCCGTCCTTCCCACAGGGCCTCTGCCTGCTGCCGCTGGAGGGATGGGTTCGCTGGGCAAGGTTCTTTCAATACCACAATGTACTTGATGCGAAGGACAGAAGCCTAAGGTCTTCTGATAATTGCTGAGACTGGACTCTGGGGACAGCTGGCTGCTGCTCCGGTCCTAACCAGGCCACAGTCAATTTAAGTTTTCCTTAGTTGTTCGTGTGTGTGTGTGTGTGTGCGCGCGCGCGCGCGCGCATGTGTGGTCTGTGTACACATACAAGCATGCAGAGGCCTGAGGCTGACAGCACAGCATTTTCCTCAGTCACATTCCACCTCACTGTTTTGAGACAGGGAGCTCAGGGATTTGGCATGACTGGCTGGCCTCTTGTGAGTCTCTGTTTCCCCAGTGCTGGGGTTACAGATGCATCCCGCTGCTCTGACCCAAACTAAGGTCCTCAGGCTTGACTGATAAGCACTCATACTGAGCCATCCCCCCACTCCAGCTCTCACACTAAGTTTTTTAGCAAGGCAGTGAGAGGAACTGCAGCGTGCAGAATCACTTCCTATTAGGCTTACTGGGCTACGCTAACCGGGCGCCGGTGTTACTCCAGGGTGGGCATCCCACTCTTAGAGCAGGCCAAGGAGCAGAAAGCAACACAGGAGCCACTATCCCGGCAGGACAGAGAGGGCTCAGCCACGCCCCTCTCCCTTCCCCCAAGGCACAAAGGACCCATGTGGTTTCATATTTTAACAAACTTTTGTTTATTAGGTTATTGTTATGAATCATCGTAAAGTAGAACAGAATGGGCTTTCAAAACTATACAGGCCTCAAGGCTTTATGCTGATGGGAGAGCGGCAAGGGGTGGTGAGTCCTGGGGCAATGGAGCACGGGGGATGCAGGAGAGCCTGGCACTTGACCAGTACCCCTGGGGTAGCGCTGGATCAAGAGGACAGGCTGGGATCTGTACAACTGAATATGATCCACTCCAAAACTGGAACAAGTAAAAGTTTACAGTCTGACAAAAAACAAAAACAAAACAAAACAAAACAAAAAAAACCCCATCAAAATATAAGGGAGTAATTTACATTCTTTATCTAGTCTTGGCACCAATTTTGTGCTTTAAAAATTATACTCCACTGGAAGATTAAAAAAAAAAAAGGTACCCTACAGCAGCTGCTTAAAATGATTCTTACAAATATATATATATATATATATGTAAATATATTAAACATTTTCAACAAATAAAGATATCTATTGTACCTGTGCAGAATGAACAGAACTGGGACTCAATGGGAGTTGATTTCTTTTCTTTCTTTTTCTTTTTTAAGGACAAGGTTTACCATGGCCCGGGGCGGCCACAAACTCAGCATGCCATTGAACTCCAGTCCTTCTGCCTCTGCCTCCTGAATGCTGGGATCACAGGTATTTCACACCTTGCCTGATTTTCCTTGGTGCAGGGGTGGGGAGTGGGGGTGGGAGGGAGGTTGGGGGGATGGAACCTGAGCTTCCGGTATGCTGCTAGGCGAGCACTCTACCATCTGGGCTACACACCCTACTTAGGGAGTTGCTTTAAAGTAGAAGAAATGGTGAGAGAGCAGGAGCAGGGGCTGGGGTGCTCCATGAGGGTGTTGCTGGGGACAGGCACCCTTGGGGCTGTCCTGCACCCCACTTCTGAGGCTTGAGGGTGTGTGTGCTAGAGTCGTTAGCCTGAGGCGAGGGCACAGGCTTTTCAAGATGCTCCACTCTGCTCTAGTTTCTCTTATCCTGTCTTGCCTCTATGGCTTCCCAGGGTTGGAAAGCCTACTCACGCTTGTTTGTCTGACAATCCTCCAGGCCTAGAGCTTTTTCGGCCACTAGTGGGAAATATCAGAAAAATCAGGTGCAAAGCTCAAAACTCATGGAAGACCAGAGACCCAAATGTGCAAATGATATATGACTGCCCAAGGGAAGCAGCTACCTGGGGACACGGGGACTTGCACAGCCCTCTAAGTCTCCTTGCGGCCTGCTCGGCGGCCTGGTGCAGAGCTCCTTGGGAATCAGGTTGAAGGATCTACACAACGACACACTCGTATCTGTGCTCAAAAGCTCGTATGCCACAGGCATGTCCCAGGCGGGGTGGCAGGTGGGAGAAAGTAATAGACCACACCAAGGGAAGTGACCCCAGCGGGCTCCCTTTCTAAACGGAATAAATAAATGGCCTTCATTACTGTCTGAATAATAGATACAGGGCACAGAGCACCAACAGCTGGCGCTGAGGCTGGCCCTCACTGGCCCAAGGGAGGACATCCTGAGCTTCATCCGAGGGCCGGGGCCTGGGCCTGGCCATTCCTGCTTTCGGAATCTGCCCTGGAGCCCTGGCCTCTCCCCCTAGCCTCACCTCCCAGGTCCCCCAGGTGGCTGCGGACCCTCCGCAGGGAGTGGGGGAGCGGCCCACTCCACCTGAGAGCAGAGAGGCGCCCGAGGAGGCATCCATAGTTTATTCTCTGCATCTGGTTCAGGGAAGGGCCTGGATGGTGCTGCTTCAGCCAGCGTTGGGAGGAGGAGAGAAGTCCGTTGGCATCGGTCCACCCCGCAGAGGCGGCTGGTGGGATGAGAGGACACGTCTGCCCATGGCTGAGGGTGGGCATCCATCGCAGGCTCGGGGGGGTCAGTGGACCCCGACGGCTCAGTGAGTTGGCACCAGGTGGCTGTCGTATGGTGGTCCTGGGATGTGGGTTACTGGTAGAGGAGGTAGGCCTTGAGGGAGGCAGGTAGCGGCAGAGCGGGGATGGCACCCAGGCGCTCCTTTCCTAGTGCTAGGCGCACCGAACGTCGGCACAGGTCCATGAGTGGCAGGGGCTCAGCTGGGGAAACCAGGAAAGAGAGGAGAACCTTAGCAAAGCTCAGGAAGGTTCTGGAACACACAAGACAGTGCTTACAACATGTCTGGCCTGGGGTAGCACCAAATCAAGTGAATTTTGACAAGCAGATTGTTAACAAATGTGATTTTAAATTGTGGTGTCGACGGCAGAGAAGTCACACTGGACCAGATAGGTTCAGAAGGCCCCTGCCAAAGGGGGTCACTCACTCTCAGGACAGTGATTAGTCCCACCAGAATAATCACAGAGGCCATTGCTGTCCTCAGTCCCTATCCAGAAAAGGGAACTGAGGGACAGCATCTAGAAATCTTGCCTAGGCTTGGCCTGCTGGAAGAGATGGGACTGCGGCCTGAGGGGCTGTTCCCAGTCTCCCTGTGGGGCCACTCTGCCCTGTCTGGACAAACACGTGACTAGCTCTGGGGCAAATGAGAATCAGCTTTCGGCAGCATGCCCCCTTTCCAGCTCCAGGGCCCCAGGAGGCTTGCAGGGCAGGTCCTTGTGTGTCACCTCAGCATCCACTTTCAGGAGCTCGTCAGTGACTGTGCTTGCCTTCAACCAGGAGCAGAAAGGGTGCCAAACAGGCCAGGCTGATAGCCAATTCTGGCACCCTGTGCCTGGCACACCCACTCTGAGCTGCCATACTCTTTACTCCCCAAGACAGAGGTGGCGGCCAGGGCTCAGTGGGTAAAGGTGCTTGTCGCCAAACCGGAGGACCTGAGATCATTCTCAGTCGACTCACATGGTGGAAGGAGAGAGCCAATACCTACAAAACCTTTGACCTTCACATGCACGCAATTGTGTGTGCAAGCACATGTGTATGTGAAATAAAACATATGAATGAACAAGTAAAATTAAAAAAAAAAAAACAAAAAAACAAAGAAATGCTTCCTCGGAGTCATGTGTAACAGGTGGCATAGCCAAAGCACGGTCATCAGTCAGCTGGCCCCACAGCCTGACAATGGTGTTCGGGGCCATGTTAACCAACAGGCCAGAGCTGGAGGAACCCCAGGTCTTTGGGCTTCCTTCAGCCTGATAGGAAAACTGGAAATGCCAGCCTAGCTGCTGCTGGAACCCTGAGGGCATTCAGGGCTACTACCTCCCTGCCCTGTCCCAAACACCACCAAGATGTTCCCAGCAGAGGAACTCAGAGCTGAGCTGGCTCGGGCATCTACATGAGAGTGGCTTCCCCTCTCGGACTCCAAGGCCCTGTTCTGTGGGCTGAGAGTCCAGGCCCTGTGTCCTGCAGAGGAGGTCCCAGCCTGGTAGCATCCCAGAGTTCTTAGGAGTCTAAAATTTGTTTCTCTCAGCTTCAGAACACATGGAGGGTGGGCACACCCTGACAGCCAGTGTCCCCCCAAGCAGCCCTTTCCCTCTGCTTAGAACAATGGGGAAATGTTCGGTGCTCCCTGGATCCTGGGGCTAGCAAGAGCACAAACCAATGGACTGTGGCTTGGTCCATGCCCAACCCTTGACGGTGAGCCTCCATTGTGAGCCAAAACTAACAAACAAACAAAGTCCAGAACAAAAACTTGCCCTCCAAATCCCACTCCACGGGAAAGTGGGTTCTTTTAAAAATGTGTGTGCTTATTATTTTGTGAATGTGTGTGTACAGATGCGTGTGTATGAATGTGGAGGCCAAAGGACAGCTTCAGCGACATTCCTCAGGCAAACTGTTCCCCACATTGTTGTTCACCAGCCTGAAACTCACAGGCGGGCGAGGCTGGCTGTCAAGCCTCAGAAATGTGCCTACTTCTCTGTATTCCTCATGCGGGGCTTATATCATACCTGGCCTTTTTCCATGTCTTCTGGGGGCGGTCACACTTGGGCTCTCATCCTCGCAAGGCAACCATCTTACTGACCGAGCCATTTCCCTAATGCCCAAGTGCATTCGTTCTTCGGTTAAACTCTCCCATATTCACCAGTGTGCCTCAAAACGGTAAAAATAACCCCTTTAAGGGCTGGAGATGGCGCCCAGTGGCAAAGCATGTGCTTAGCGTGTGAAAGGCCCTGGAGCCATACCCCATCACCAAATAATAAACAAATAAATAAAAATTATTGAAGCTTGGCTTTTATGTCTGAGAACATGGAGACTGCTGATGGGTGCAAGATTTCTTGGGGTAGGAAAATGCTCTGACACTGACTGGAGGAGGCACTGGGTGCTTCAACTGGATGAAATGGAATGGCGCCTAAGCTGAGTCTTATATCAGCTGCACTGAAAAAAAAATGAACTGGGCTGGGGAGACAGCCCAGTCTGTAAGGTGCCTGCTGTGCAAGCGTGGGACCTGAGCTTAGCTCCCAGCACGCATGAAAAAGCCAGGCCTGGTAGCACTTGCTCATAGTCTCAGCACTGGGGAGGCAGAGACAGGAGGATTCCCGGAGCTCACTGGCTCGCTAGTTTAGCCATATTGATGAGTCCCAGGTCCCAGAGAAAGAGGTCCTGTCTCAGGAAGGATACCCAAGGCTGACCTCTGGCCTCTCCACACACTTGTGCATATGTGCCCACCCATGCTTATATCCGGCCCACAGGATAAACCTGAGTTGATGGGATGGCTTGGTGTGTAAAAGCATGTGTGGCAGAAACTTGATGACCTGAGTTTGATCTGGTGACGGGTGTGCCAGCAGACGTGTGCATGCACACGAAAAACCACACACACTTGATCAAAAGTTTTAAAAGATAATAAACTTTAGGCATTACCTACACTCTAACCTGAAGGAACTCTGCAGCCAGAGCTTTTCAGGAAGAGGGGCCCAGCAGTAACGGTTTTTAATGAGAAGCCTGGATGTAGAGCCTTTCCTAGACAGCCCAGTGATCGCCAGGAGTCTGCAGGCAGGGGGTGAACCAAAGGAGTTTCATCCATCCCCAGCCCTTCTGCAGGGTGGAGCAGGGGACCATCGGTGTCGCCCTTCACTGCTTGGAACTCTTACCATCCGGCATCACTGGGGCAAAGGGCCTGGGGCTGCCCCGACTGCTATTCCAGGCGGATGTGGCTCAGCCCCACTTAGGAGGTAGAGAGGCATCCCCAAGGGCTGGAGGGCTGTTGAGGAAGCACCAGGAGCCATCTAAAGTGGCTCAAGAGCCCTACCAACCCAGGGGTTACCCCACCATGATCCCTCGGCACTGAGTCTTAGGGCACCTCACAGCCTTGTAAAGAAGGTTTTCAAACCAGAGGACTAGAACCGAACGAGTCCCTGCTCCAGCTTCCGTGTTTCAGGGCGGACACTGCAGCCACCGCCACCACCATGGTAGGTGGCGCTTGTGCTATGGACCTGGTAGGACTGTTGCCCACACCTAGAGATGGAAACTGACATCAGGAGCCCTAGGCCTGAGAACCAGGGACTCAGAAGAGGTGAAGCAGCTGCTTCATTCACCCATGCAGAAAGCAGGCACAAGCGCAGGCACACACACAGATGCAGGTACAGGCGCAGGCACTGGCACAGGGGTGGGGTGGGGAGTTTCTGTGGTATGGTCATGGGACCAGCTTCAGGAGGGGCAGCTAATGGCTGCAGTAATGCATTAAGAGTTGAGAATATAACCAGAGTGAATCAGGCACTCCGTGAACAAGAACAAACAGGTCACCTTTCCCCACCCTCGTAGGGGAAGAAGCGACAGTTCACAGAGCTGTGGTCTGCCTGCTTCTCAAATCCTGAGCAGAGAGGAGAATGCTCGGACCAGGAGAACAGACACAGGCATTCTGCCTCAGCAAGATGACCACTGTACCGATTTCCAGTTGGTCACTACCTGGGTCCAAGAAGGTCTCTCCCACTTCAGTACTTTTGGCCAAGAACTACAAGAGTACCCTGATCCATCCAAGTGCCCACGGTCGCTCCACTGAGCTGGGGCATACATCCTGCTGGCTGCAGCCTCTGGCCACTCATGCTCCAGGAGGCCGAGGTGGTCGCTGATTTTTACGTGAATGGCAGGAAAGGTGGGGCTGAATGTGCACCAGGAGCAGATGGTTGAGGACCTGGGTGAGGCCACATGCCAACTTCTGCATTTCTAAGAGGAACAGCTTCTGAGCGGCCTAGGCAGTTCTGCACAGCTCGAAAGCCCAAACCTGGGAAGTCAGTGGCACGCTGAGAAAGATCTTCCCCACATGAAGCTTCAGAAGCCCCAGGGCTAGCCGGGGAGATGGCTTAAGCAGTTAAAGCATCCGTGCAAATGTGAGGACCAGATCTGGGTCCCCAGAACCCAGTAAGTGCCAAGTGGACATGGCAATCTGCCTGTAATTCCAGCCTTGGAAGATAGAGACGGGTTCCCCCAAGCAGGCAGGCTAGCAAGACCAGCGAGCTCCAAGTCTGACTGAGAAACCTGCCTCAATGACTAAGGGGGAAGAGTTACTGAGGATGATTCCTGACATGAATCTTGGACTTGCACATGCGCCCACACTCATGTAACCACACAGTGGCCCCCATATGTGAAATTGCTCATATGCACAAATGAAAACTTAAAAAAAAAAAAAAAAGGCATGTGCTATGTCCCAGTTCATGACAAATGATCCAAGGAAAAAGTCACATCAGGAGGGGACTCTAGTTCAGTGACAGCCATGTTGCTTACCCTCATGGCACCTGCGGCTGACCTGGTGCTGGCTCCTACAAGCAGCTGGCAGCGAGAACACTCATGGGAACGTTCTAGATAGTTCTGAGTGGAAGTAGCCACTGTGCTTATTTGTTATACTAAGCAGTTCTCACAAGAGGAGCCATGAAACCTCAATGCCTTGTCCCTGTCCCCAGGGAAGGACAACTGGTATCTTTCCAAGCGACACAGTGCTCTTGGTCTCTGTCCTTCAAACTCTGAGGACCTGCTTCCTCGTGAGGCCAGTGTTTCTGAGAGAGAGTGTGGCACTCGCTGAAGGAAGTCCTGGCAGGGGCAGGGTAACCAGCCTCCCCACAGCACGCTTGGATGGGGAGCATCGAGAAGCTCCGGGGCAGCTAGAGAGCGCCTGGGGAGGAGGGCACAGATAGTCACACTAAAAACTGGCCAGGAGCAGAGAGAGGCAGTGCACGAGTAACTACACACTGAGCAACAGCAGCCAGGCTTGCTGGCCGCCGGGAACACAGGCTCCCCGGAGCCTCTGCAAGCTCTGACCCTGCTGACAGCTCGGTCTCAGACATCTGGCCTCCTAAACTGGGACAGAATAGATTTCTGTTGTTTAAATGCCTGGTTCAGAGCAATCTGTTCTGGCAGCCCCAGGAAATGAGTATAACATCCTTCTTCCTCCATCAGGCACCAGGCTTTAACCCTGTTCCACCGAAATGACTCCTGGAAAGGTCACCAACAACCTCCTAGTTGCCAAGAAAGCAGTCAGTATTCTTGACCTGTCATTACTTTGTCTTTCTTGAAACTCTTCCTTCCCTTGGCACCCAATACATCTACTGGGATGCTCTGGACACATGGCCTGCTTCTCCTGGGTCTCCTGCTCCTGACAGAGTCTATCTTTAGCTATTAAACCTGGCTCACCCTCTGGGTGCTCTCATTCAGGGTCATGGCGTATCTCTTGTTGTTTTTGGTAGGCTGGGGATAAAATCTGGGTTCTTGTGCATGCTAGGCCAGCCCGTTACCCTTAGGCAACACCCCATGCCATCTGAACATTCATGACTTCCCCTGCTGGCCCCTGGGTCTCCTTTCTACAGCTTTCCCATCTTCCTGATTGCGACCATGCCCTTCAACCTGCTTGGGCCAAACACCTGGAGTCCCATCCTTGCTACCTTCCCATTTCATGCACGCAGCCTCCTGAGATGTGCATTCCAGACTCTGGCTGCCTCTGTCACCTCTATAGCTCTCGTCCTGCCTCAGACCCAGCCATCTCTTACCTGCACAGCCATCACGGCCGCCACTCTTGCCTACCATCAGCCAAGGGATCCCTGTAAGGTCTGAGTCACCCCCAACCATGCACTGAGGTGTCAGTGTAAGCACGTGATGGCTCTAGCACAGGCCACCTCTCCCTCCCTACTCTTCCCCTGCAGCGGGGCTAATGAAAACATGCCACTCCACACGTCCTGCTTAGCATCTCAAGAAAGCACCACACCTACGTCCCCACCTGCATCTTCCAAAGCCAGCCATATATGACCAGGACTATGGGAGAGAAGCCACGGATCTTGCCGGTGCCTGGCACTCAGGTGAGCTGGGGAGAGCCCAGAGTGTATATCACTGACCAAGAAGTATCCTGATGTGACATTCTGGGTCTTTCTGGATCGAGGCTGCCATGACAGACTGCCTGGGTGAGGTCAGTTTCCATCAACTGATTCCCAGTCTCATACTCCTACCCAACTTCTTTAGAATTTTCCAGTAGGGCTGGAGTTCTGGATTGAAGAAAAAGGAAGAGGCAAGCATTCGTCCCTCTCTGCTTCCCAACATCTTACATATAGATGCACTATGACTGGACGCCTCATACCATTGCCCCCAAGATGGACTGTGTCCTTCAAACTGAGACAAAACCAACCCTTCCTTCCTCATCAGGTATTTTGTCCCAGCAATGAGAAAAGAAACTAGCTTGGCATGCAGCCCTCCACCTGACGCAGAGCTGGGAAGAGGACCATCTGCTCACAGGATATGTGTAGACCTCTAGAATGGCATTGATGGAAATGTGTAACAGGAGTTACACATGACTTGCCAAGGGCAAACACACCCCAGGCCCCTTTTGACTGCTTAGAGCCTGTATTCTGTACAGGAGCTGGGATACATGGAAGCCATGCAAACTCTCAGGGCTCACGGAAATATTGACAAGCCTACTGGCGAATGACAAGGCTGGACAATTCTCACTGGAGCTCAGATCTGGGGTCTAGCAGACAACAGTAGCCTTGGCAATCCCCCATCTGTATGAAATGAAGGGAGGCAGGCCCAGAACCAGGGTCCCCTTTGAACCTAAGGCCTGGACACCTACACTCAGGAGTTCCAATCTCCAGCCATCCCTGCAAAGGCGGTTGTGGACTTTGTCACTTATTTCTGTCACAGAACCTGCTCTGCTAATTCCCCACTGCAGGTCTGGGATGGCTTCCTCAGGAGGCTTCCTTCTAGGTTCACACTTGCCCACACTGCCAGGAGTGCCAGACCTTGAGTTGGGCTGCACAGGGAAAGATGGAGCAGCGAAGGCTCCGTACTGCAGGTGCCCCCACCCAGCGACTGGCTCGCTGCCAGGTCCAGGCAGAGCCTGGGTAGGATGCAGAAGGAAAGGGGAGGGCTTCTGAGAAGATTAGGAGTTAGTTCATGGTATGTCTGACTACTCTGAACATTGCGCTGCCTTCCAAAGACTGGCTTGAGAGGGGTGAGGCAGACTTGGACATCCTGGAGGGTCAGAGGTGGTGGGGTGGTCAAGCTCTGTGTTCCTGACATCAGCGAGACCCATGCCTATCATGAAACACAGGTTGGGGCTGGTATTTGGAGTGCCAAGCCAAACCTGTCCCCCACAGCAGCCATGGGCGGTTGGCACTTTCTGACTCATCTCCTTATAGAGACGGAACATACAGACCGCAGGAGACACCCTTGTAGGTAACAAGCTCCAGAGAGGGCACGGCATGGGGGTTGATGGTACCGGAGCACAGACTCCTGCTAACACAGCTCTCCGTTCCCAGCCACACTGGGCAGTCACAAGCCTGCACCTGCCAGCGGCACAGTGCTGCCGCTCACAGGCACTACCACACAGAGAAAGGCCACACCCCTTTCCAAAAGGACAGGCAGTCACTGCTGACTCAGCACACTGTCCCCACTCCAAGACCAAGCAAGTCTTTCGCAAGACTGTGGTGCAAAGGAGCGTCTAGCTCTGGGAGGGAAAGACTCGGAATCTGGTCATGCTTGGAAAAGGTCCCTGGCTTTCACCTATCTGAGACCTGGTAACACTAGCTACTGTGCTGGAATATGGTCAACGATTGTTCAAGGCTGGAAGTATGTTAACCAAAGAATAAAACCATTCATTCACCTGTTCATTATTCCACCACACATTCATCCAGTCACCTGACCGAGTCTACCCATCACCCATCATCCATCCACCCACCCGCCCACCATCCACCCACCCATCATCCATCTAAACCAGCCACCCACCTACCCATCCATCCATCTTCCATTTACTCATGAAGCACTGCCAGGTATTCCATTAGGCTCTAGACTTCTTCACTTAGCCAGATATGGGTCAAAAGTGGCCTGTGAGGATCTGCAAACACTGGACTATCTACTTAAAGACATTTTAAGTACAATAACTACATAAGCTGGCCAGGACCACAAGGACACAGGGGACAACGCTATTTTAGACAAAGCAGGGAACACTTACGATCAAGTCCGTTCAAGTATCGCATTCGGATCTCACAGTGGCCCCAGACGGCACTCACTACAGGATACAGTTTTTTACCCTTGAGTCCCCGGAAAGCCACTCCCATGTACTGTCCATCCACGATGAAACTCAAGGTCCCATCATCCATGTCCAAGGCCACAAGAAAGGAGTCTGGGACAATGAATGTCTCATCTGGCTCCAGAAAGGCTGGGTATGTTTTACTTGGCTGGTTCTTGCCGTCATGGTAGAGACGGTTGCGCCCCAAGTCCCAGCCCCAGGACTCATGGTTATTTCCTACAAGGGTTGTGTACCCAACAGAGTGCAAAGGGGCATCCGCTGTGGCCACCCCTACCACGGCATGTGTGCCTCGTTGCCTCATGGCCCACGTGATCTGCCATACATGCAGCCCACGTGTGTACCCAACTTTGCCTCTGATAGCGTCCGTGCTCTGGGCCACCGGATGCCGGTGAAAGATCAGCTTGTCGTCTTCCTTCACGAAGACATTGAGCGAACGGTCATTATTGTTCCAGGAGTGGAGCAGCTGGACGTCATAGGACACGGGCGGCATGTCGAGCAGCAGGTCCAGCCGGGTGGGCTTGCAATAATCCAGACCCTGGAGCTCCTGCTTTAGAGGCCGGTATGTGGGGTCCCGCATGTCCACAGTCTTGATTCCTCCCGTGACCTTCTGACCCATGGTGGCCTTTGATTTCACCTTCTCACTGACTCCCAAGGCAAACTCATCAATGTTGGGTGTTGATTCTGGAGCTCTACTCAGGGCCGCACAGAACTCCTGAGGAAGGTTCCTAGGCGATCTCCAAAGGTTGGGAAGCACTCAGTACTGCCTAATGGGCAGAAAGAAAAACAGGAGCATAGGTGAGCTGGGGTGCAGTAGCAGGGGCAAGATTAAAGAGAAACACAGAACCACACACGCTGGTATGTTTCAGCAGCTTGGAACCCTGGCACACAGTGAAACGTCCCTGTCCCGGTGGCTATGCTGTCACCATGGTCTGTGGGGGGGGGGGGGGGCAGGGGTGGGCTCAGGGACCGGGAACTACACTCCACAGGGGCTGAGGCTGGGCTTCTAGTTGGCAGTTCACAGTCAGAAGGCCAAGGTGGTAGCACAGACCCCCGTGTGAGCCTCAACTCAGTGACACCTTCTTGGTCGGATCGAATGGAAGTACATTGCTCTTGCTTCACTGTGTAGAACACAAATCACAGCACTGGCAGCTTCCCTTTCCAGCAGTCACAACACCATGCGGTCCAAGGCGGGGACACTGATACAGACATCAACTCTGGAACAGCAAGCACGCTTAGCCAGGCTCCACAGCCCAGAGCCCTCAGCAACTCCTCCTCAGGTCCTTACCCTGCCCAGACTGGAGCCACCAACAAGCCTGCCTCAAGGCCCCTAGCTGGGCCCTGGATTCAGATGGACATGGAAGGGGCAAGGCTCATCCGCTAACCCTCATGTGGTTCTGGGCTAACCTGCAGATGACGGAGTGCTTTGTTAGAAGACACTTTTCAACCAGAAGAGCACGTTTCACCCTTGAGTGTCCCTGCTCCAGCCCAACTCCACGCCACCTCCTTCCCCTCTGGCTTCACCAGATCCATTACAGAGGACGGGAAAGTGGGAGCAGAGGAGAGACCCCACTGCATCTGTCTACTCGCCCTCCAGTGAGTGTCAAGATGATGATGAGGAGGAGGCTGGAGAGCGGGACTGGCAATACTTTCCCCACCTGTTGCTGTCCAACCTTGGGTCAGGGGAAACAGCAAAGCATTTGCACTCCCGGGGGCTCACTCCCAAAGAGAGGTGCTGGAAGATGGCTCAGTGGGTAAGGACCTCCCACAAGTGTGAGGACTAGAGTTTAGACCCCCAGAACCATGCAGAAGCTGGGTGTGTGTGTGGTAGCCTACTTACTATCCCAGTGCGCCTGGAGGTGAAGGTGGGCTCTCTCCAGGGCAAGCTAGTTAGATAAACGAGCTAAGATGGGGAATTTAGTGAAAGACCCCCTTCATATATAAAATGAAGAATAAAGACGACACCTGAAGCCAGCCTCCACACACGTACGTGCAGGCACACAATCAGATATACACACACACACTTACCACCCCCCCACTCCAGAAGGACCTTTTGGCTCCCCAGTTTGAAGACAGGCTCCAATGAAGAAGAATGAGGAATGTAGGCTCCAGGATATATGATCTAATGGAATGAACACCAACAAAGATGGATGAAGGCCAATAAGCCACAGTTGCTGGGAAACAGGGTCACTTGTGCCAAGGAGCTCTAGGGTACCTGAATAAAGCAGATAAATGGAATGTGAAGGAATCTAGAATCTGTGCAGGCTGCACAGGTTCCACAAAGCCCTGCGGATACTGTGGACCTACTTCTGCATATCCAGGTACAGCCATCCTGCTTTCTCTCATCTTCCTTGGTGACACTAGGGATTCAGCCCAAAGCTCTGTACATGCTACATAAGATCTCTACCACCGAACTCATCACCAGCCTTTTAAAAACTTATCATTTTGATCCAAGGCCTCATGCTGCTGGCTTGCCCACTCCTTCGTGACTTTTGCTTCAAGTTCCTTGAGTTACTGTTTTGATGTCTTAATGAACGTATAACCTGTAAGCTAGAACAAACCCTTTCCTTACCTAAATTGCTTCTGGTCAGAATGTTTTATCACAGCAGCAAAAATCAAATGACAACAAGCAGAAACAAGGAAATTCTATGTGTAAAGGCTCCATGCTAATTGTCTTGGGCTTTGTGGACCAGACTATTCAACTTCACCATCATAGCACATAAGCTAGCACATAAGCAAGGCACAGAAGCTGCTTCTCAGAGCTGCATTACAATAAAACTTTATTTATAAAAACAGGCCAGCCCTCAGCTTGCTAGCCCAAGCTAGATTATGGCTCCTCCTCTGCCTCCACTGAACAAAGTTTTGTGAAGGCTGCAGCAGGCAGGCATAATGTGAATATCAGAAGGAATCCCCTGGCAGCCTTGGAAAGAACAACCCAAAAAAAAAGTTACCTCGGAGCGGAGCGTCCACTATCTTGTCCAGGTCATTCTCATGAGTTCTAGTTCTAAGGTGCACCCAAAGGCCTGTGTATGGCCTAGTGAGTTCACTAACACCCACGCCGTGCTGAGCTGTGTCCCTCCCTGGCCCATAGGAAGAAGGTGAGAGCAGCAGGCGTGGAATGGCTATGAATGATGGGTGTCCACAGGAGAGAAGGTGTGGGAACGAGGATTTGGAGAGAGGGTTGGCACAGGTTAAAGAGTCTCCAGTGTTACAGAACGATTCTTTCAGAAGGACGGGCCAGGGATATGGTCCAAGCACTCCGTTGTATGTGTGCCCCATCCCATCATTGGAGTCACCTTCTGAGTGGTCAGCTGCCATGGCAATCCTAGTCACCCTTGGCTCATCTTTTCTGTGTGTCCAGGTTGTTGGCTGAAGATGACACTGTGCTGTTGTTCAGAGCTCGCTACCTCCTAGCCTACATGAGTGTGTCAGAGCCATACCGCTTCCCTCCTTCCATCCATTTCAAAGTGTGCCTGTGCAGGGAGCTTGAAAGGTGGCCCAGAGGTTAAAAGTGCATACTGCTCCTGCAGAGGACCCAAGTTCGATTCCCAGCACACACACTAGGTAGTTCACAAGCGCCTGTAGCTCCAGTTCCAGAGAACCTGGGACCTCTGGCCTGTGTGGGGACTGCACTCCTAGTCACGGACCCCACCCCACACAAATGAGACATGCCCACACAGAAGTGGTCTTCCATTCTCACCTCTCCCTGTGCTGCGGCCCGCGGGGTGCGTCCCCAGGCCTGTCTCCAAGGCTCCCACACTCGGGACAACTGTGCCTTGCACACCAACTAAGTTTCACTCTTGGTTTTTCCAAGTTCCCGTTTGTTCATCTATAACATGGGCGTCACCTCTGTATTGCGTGCTTATCTGAAACTCAATAGAGACAGTGCCCTAAAGAGGGCTTGGTACAACTGGCACTTAACTTTTGATGTTCTAGAATGTGCTCATTCACTAAACAAAGATCACTGTGAGCCAATCTTCCTGGTTACCACCCCTGGCCCAGCAGATGAACATGGCCTCTGGCTATGACCCAAGCACTGGAATGCTGTCCCACAGAAGGCTAAGATGAAGGACTCCACTAGGCCAGAAGTCAGTGAACTTGTTTTGTGAATGGCCAGATAGTAAATATTTTAGGCTTTCAGACAGTGTGTAAATAAACGGGTGAGACTATGTCCCAATAAAACTTTAAGAAAACAGAGAGCTGGATTTAGCCCATAGCCATAGTTTGCTGACTGACCCCTCTTATAAAGCTGTGAAAAAAATTGCTGACCTGCTCCCCAAAATACCTGGCCATGGAGCTCAGGGTGGGGTGGGTGTGCATCCTTGAGTGCTGAGTGACAGGAACATGGGTGGGTCTGCACAGCTGTGGTTAACACTGGACAAGGCAGGCTTCACTGGGCCAGTAGGGAGTCCAGCAATGGGGACTAGTGGCAGGAAATGGGGGGACCAGTCTGGGTCACCCTACTCCCTACTGTTCTGGAAGCAAAGTAGAGGCTCGGGCTTTATGGGGTTCAAATGTGCCACATGAGTGCCAGGACCTGAGGTTACCAAGGGAGCAGATGCAAGCCTCTGAGAGGTGGGAGGACTCGGCCCTCGGCCCTATCCAGGAGCTGCCAAACCATGAAGGGTGGGAAAGGGAGCGGCTGTGTGTTGCCTTGTAGGCTGAAACTAGACAGCAGGGAGCCCACAGGGATGGGCTGCCATCGCTGTGTCCAACCAGTCATGGCAACCACGAACGCCTACAGAGACATGCACACACGCCTGCATGCACGGGGGCACCCAATGGGTGTTAATGATGCCAGTGGTCACCGAGGCTGAGGAGCAGGAAGTTGGTGGCTCTTCCCAGAGTCCCTTATCGGCTCTCGTGCTCAGAAAGTGAACTCTGGCATTCACCACCCTCTTCCTCCTCACAGCACCTGCTGGCCATCCTCATGGCTAGCCAAGCCCCAAAGTCCTAGGCGGCACCCCTCTTCCCTTCCAAATGCTGGCCACCCTGAATAATGAACACATCCTGCTGTGCTTAGCCTCGGGGCTGCACCTGCCAGCTGCCATACAGTGACAGAGCTGGTGATTCCCAAGGACCAGGGACACACCCGAGAGAGGACGGAGACATACAAACACTGTGTGTGAGCACGTGAGTGCGCACATGCACGCTCTAACTGCACATCTGTTACTCTTATCGGGCATCACGGAATATGTCCAGTCATTCTCCCAGCAATGTTCTTCTCCAGATAAAATCAGATTAAAGATCAACCGAGGACAGCAGGGAAAACCATCATCAAAGGGAGAGCAGGTCTTCTGAGAGAAAGGATAAGCCCTGCACAACAGGCTGAGAACTTGGTGAGTCACCAAAGAGACCTACCTCTTGTTTGGAGTCTGAGTTCTTGTTCTAAAGTCAAGACCAGTGACAGGAAGCATGTGACATGAAAGCTACCTGAGTAATTACTCAGAAAATGATATGTGAGTAGCTTCACGGGTCATGGCGGGCAAGTAACTCCACCCCCACCCCCGCCAGTGTGCAGTCTGTCCCCTTGTTAGTGACGTGTGACTGAACCGGAGCATGTGGCACAGGGCTATGGGCTTGGGGTGGACGGGTGGGGTGCCCTGGGAAAACTCAGTGTTTTCACAGTTCTCACCTTTCTGCTCCTCATACCCCAGTTCAACCCATGCTCCACCAGTCACAGCCTGGGAATAGAAGCACCCCATCCCCAAGTGCACTGTGAGATCTTCCTATCTGTGGCTGGAGGGGTGTGTGTG